TTTTAAATTCGTAATTCATGATTATCTCGTTAAAAATCTTACCAAGAAAAATCTAATTGGGATAAAAACTTGGTAAAGAAAAAAGAGTGCAATCATTTTGTGACGAATTACAAATTTTACAAACTTACAAAGTTATACAATTACAATGTCAAAAGTAAATATATATTTACAAATTACAAATTTATAATTTAATTTGAAGCTGAAGGATCGTCTTCAAAATTAAATGTTAATCTATTAAATTCATCGATCTATTCTTGACTTGCCGGCGAAATTGTATCATGTAGACGTTAATCGGCATGATTCCAATCCTTAATGTAGACCAAGGCTTCAACAATGTCCCTTTACAATGCGTTTCGGCGTTCCTCAAGTATTCGTCATGTCATACTGAAGGCTTGTTCGAATGAAACAGTGGAGACTGGGATCGAAAATATATCTGTTACCAATCGAGTTGGGATTGGCCAAATTAATGCTTGTGCTCTCCACCATTGAACTAAGTTAAACGATTCTCTAGTACCGTTGACTACTAAGCTTTCACTGAGGTACGTTATAAGCTCGTTGAAGCTGCCGCCGCCGCTGCCACCTATTGATGAAGATCCACTCCCAGCTTCTGTTTGAGTTGTCTTCTTCGTCTTCTTCAACCCGAAAACATTCAAGAATGAATGCGGGTTTTCATCTTGTTGTTATGGTTCCTGTACTCTAGAGTTTGTGCTTCTAAACCTATTCTCATATTTACTATAGATCGAATATATTTTTGCTTTTATTGTTGGAAATTGGTCCGAACAATTGATGCCTAAAAATTCACCTAAGTTTTTTAAACCACTTTCTAAACCGTCTAATTTTAATCTATGATAAAAAATAGTACCTAAACCATAGAACAAAGGCAACTTAGACCAATATTTTTAAATTATTTTTCCATAGATTTGATAGAAACTCTTAAGATTGGGTCCTCCCTATATTCACTAAATAAAATAGTAATTCTTAAAAGTTCACCTAAAGCTAAAGGTGATGTTGAGTAATATGTTCCACTAAGCTTTAAAGTAACTTCATGAAACCTACCTAAAAATTCATAAAAAAATTTCAGCAATTTGCCAATCATATGCGTCTATATGTCATACTCCTAATTTTACACACTTATAGTTTGTTATAGCATCCTTATAGGGGATGCATTGTTAAAGCATTATATAAGTTGAGTTTCATCTTACAGGCATATCTAACGCTAATGCTCTAGGAGGTATATTTAATGCTTATAAGAACCTAAACCAATCTTCTTGTCTTTGGTTACTACCTTGAATCCATGCAAGACTATCTCTAATTCTTTAATGTGAGTACCCATTTCTTTTAAACTAGATTTAAATATTAAATTAATTACATGACATGCACAACGTTGGTGGAAAATAGTACACTCACCGAATAAACTTAAATCATTTTCAAAGAACTCAATTGCTTTTATATCGGCATTAGTATTATCTAATATTATAGCCATTACTTTATCTCTTAATTTAAATTCATCAATTACATTTAAAATTGTATTATCAATGAGAATACCACTATAACCAAAAGAATCCATTATAAAAAAATAAGAGCGATTTGAGAGAGAGAGCTCTAGGATAATGTGATAGTTTTTGGAAAAATTGTGAGAGAGATTTGAGAGATTGAGAGAAATTGAGAGAGATTGAGAGAGTTTGAGTGAGTAAAATGTGTGGGGGATGGGGGGTATTTATAGGGAAAGTTTTGGGTTAAAAAATTGATTTTTCCCCCCAAATTCGGATCCAACGGCTAGTTTTGTTTTCAGCGGGTCGGATTCGGGTAGAAAATTGGGCAACGGTCAAAAACTAGCTGTTGGGGTTATGCTTTTCGTGTTTTGGGTCAAGTCAGGCTACAACGGTAAAAAATTTAAACCTTGGTCGGGTTTTCAGGCTTCAGGGCAGTTCGGGCAAATCGGGCCTGATCGAAAAAATTTAAAAAAATTCCGGCAGACGGCGATAACAAGGCGACGGGCTCTGGCGAGGTGTCCATTTCGGGCTGCCCTATCACGCCCCGGGGCAGGGGTCGGTGACGTGGAGGCTCGATTAGGAGTAATAATCAAAATCCATAAATAAAGTATTAAGTAAATTCTTAAACAAGCCTCCGTTTCATTAAAATATAATACAAGGGAGAGCCCCACTATTTAGCAGAAATTAAATTATACATTCCAAGAGAGAGACTAAAACTCAAGCTTCTAACACTGTTCAGGGCTACACCCACAAGATCTTCAGCATTGTACATACATGAACATGTAAATAACATTACAGACATCAACCACAGTCTAGAAATCCAAATGTCAACGTTTACAAAATTTACAAATTCTTACATTCGTGCACAGGGAGGATGAACACAATCCTCACCAACTCTGGTGGTAGCAATCTAACTCAGCTACTCCGCACCGCTTCTAGAATTTTATGGGAGGGGTTTAATATTTATAGAACAATAAAAACGTGAGCGAAATGTCCAGTAGGATATATTTTGAAATAAATTTTATAAATAAATGAATAAATAAATAAGCGAGTAAATAAATAAATGGATAAGTAAATAAAATAAGACATTCAGTTCCAACACAACAGCCGGAACCTCACATCCTTTTTCTCAAAGGAAATATAACTGAAAATCTCCGTATTACAGGCATCAGCAAGTTATTTATACTACGATAAATTACTTACACAACCACGTGCACAAGCCTTATCACCCCCGGGCCGGGTTTCGGGTTCTGCCCCTAAGGATGCACTCTCCACATCCTATCTTGGCCATCAGCCGGTTTACCGATTCACAAGATCTCTTATCTTAAGAAATCATTCATTAAACTTTCTGAAATTGTTCATTATAATACCATGAACTACAACAAGCCATGGTCCCATGAACTACAACAAGCCATAGGTACCATGAACTACAACAAGCCATGGGTTTTAAACATTTTTCTTTCACAAACAAGGCCCTTTTCTTTAAAACATTTGCAAGGCGAAAACTCTTTTGAAAATCAAGCTCACAAAGAATAGGAATAAGGAATCCTACCTCGCAAGTACCAAACTTGGCTAGCATTACTCTATTCTGGCTTTTGCTTCCTCAAGCCCCTCAATCCGAGTCTTCAGCTAGCACTGATACAAAACCACACTTTAGGATCCAATTCTCAATCCTAAAGCAATTTCAATCTCAATTATACCATTTGATTTCCTATTAGTGTGCTATAATTCAATTACCGATTTCACAAACCATTTCATGTTTCAAATCATCATTCCAAGGGGTTTCAATCTCAAAACATGGATTAAAGATGCCAATCCATTCATTATAGGTCCCCAAATGAAGCTAATTTGGGTCCTCCTAAAAAACTGAGGTCAAAACAGCATTTTCAGGCCAAACGGGGTCAAACCCCTTATACACCGGTCGACCGGTGACAGCGCAGTGCAACACCACCGGTCGACCGGTGGTGTACAATTCGGTCGACCGAACAGGTCGACGGGTGAGGCCAATGCAATCCGGTCGACCGGTGAAGAACAGCAGTGCAAGAAAACTCACAAAATCAGTTAACAAATCTGCAAATCCAGTCCCAAATCAAAATATCTCAAGGGACAACACCTGAATCCGGGTTCTAGGTACTAAATCAAGTCCAAAGAACCCAAGATCCCCAATTTCTACCATGTTTTTAGTCAAAATCCATCAAAATCTGTTTTGAACCAAAATAGGTTTTCAAATATGGAAAATCCGAGATTCAAGAGAGGTTTTTTAGAAATCTTATCTCGAATCATTCTCTTGGCATTGAAAACTTTTTGAAATTCCTCTTTGGTTCGAAATCCGGTAGATTCGGTGAAGATTTGAACGGGAGAGAGAAAGAGAGTGAACGAAGAGAGTGAGAGTGAGAGTGGAGAGAGAGAAAGCGCACGGGAAAGGAAAGGAAGGAAAAAAGGAAAAAGAAAAGAAAAGAAAAGACATGTGTCAAAATATTTAAAATGACAGTCCAGAGAGTGTGCCCATACACACTTCTGGGTAAAAATATAAATACTGAGAATATTTAAATACTTTGGAATTATTTAAATTTACATGTCAGAAATATTTATTAATTAATAACCAATTAATTAATTCAGATCAGACACACTAATAAATCTTAATTACCTTAATTAATCTCATTTAATTCTTTAGGGTGTTACATGCCCGAGCCCGAGCCCAAAAATTTTAGTTGGACGGGTCGGCAGTTGGGCCTGCCCGCCGGCCCAAAGTTCCAACACTAAGTATGGGACGTCCTCCTTGTGCTTGGTAACAAAAATATCATTTACTTCATTCTCTGTTTTTTTTTGTTTTTTGTTTTTTGTTTTGTTTTGTTTTTTTTTTTTTTTTTTGTGGTATGAACTTCATATAAAGCTATGGGTATATTAAGTAATGTTCAAATAAACAAAATTGTTATGTCCAATCATTTCTTGTTATGAAAACGTATAAGTATGCTAAATAAGGCCATGTGGATTGTAACAAACCATTGAATATAATTTAAGTTGAAAGAGAGTAAATTTAAACCTAAAAAGGTAAAAAATAATAATAATAATAATAATAAAAACAAAAACAAAAAAGAGAAGAAGAAGAAGAAGAAGAAGAAGAAGAAGAAGAAGAAGAAGAAGAAGAAATTGGAGAATGTGCCATCATTCTCTTTTTTATATAATCTATAAAGGGGCTTTTCTCACTTATAAGTGAAGTACGATTACCATAAAATTATTGTAGCCTCATAAAATTACTAGATTTACGTTTCTAATAATTGTTTGTTGTATTGTTATATCATTTTACATACTTTACTTTTGTTTCCATTGTGTTAATAAAATTGGGTTAGAATTTCTATTATTTTCGTAATTAACCTAATTTTCCATCATTTCCTGTTTTGATATATCACAAATCAATCAAATTATCCTTATTCTGATATATATATATATATATATATATATGGGAGACAATCCTTCGATACGAAGCTCTATATCAAGTGTAAAAACAAATCTCAATCTTATTTAATACACACATATATATATGTAACATTTTGTACGATCCCACTATTATAATACATAGAGTAAAATCGTAAAATGATATTTATTTAATATAATACGGATAGCTATAAAGGTTTTTAGTGATAATTTATTTGTGTTGATCATATAACAATCAATTATCCTTGTAATCTTTTAAAGTCCGTGCTTTAAAGCCATCGGCTTTCTTGTCTAACGTGTAAGGCATATAAGTTCCGAGTATTTTATCCCAATGAACAAAGAATGGTTGGCCAAAGTTGTACTTGCTTCCATATAGTTGATGATGAACATCATGAAATGCAGAATTGTTTCTAAAGAAAATGTGGAAAGGGTTCCAGCGCGGAAACCACAATCCGCAATGATCATCGAGATCCTTGATGGTGGCAAAGGAGAAGAAGAAAATAGATGCTCGTGGAGACATGCCAGATATGAGAGCCGCTAAAAGGCCGCCAATTACTTGGAACGAAAGGCTCTCCAAGGGATGAGCATAAAGAGCTCCAAACGCATAAGGAACAACAAGGCGGTGATGTTGAGAATGGATGTGCTTGTACAAAAACTTATTGAGGTGCAAGGTTCTATGAAAGAAGTAGTGCCAAGTATCCAAAACCAACATTGAAATAACAAACTGTCGTGTTAAAACCATTAAAGAAGGCTTTGGATCCGCGACGTCCTTACTATCTTTCCTTGTGACCTATACAATGACATGATCCATCGTAAACTAGTCTTCTAGATATAAAAATCAAGACATATAAAACAATATGAACATATTAATAATACATCAGGGGTGGGTTATCCAATAAAAGCAGTTAAAAATAAAAAAGTAGTTGCGGATTAGCAAGAAACCATAAGATAAGGATAGGGGCTGCAAAAAAACAACTTAATGCTGGAGGTTATGAACAACTTTATAACAATATAACCCCATGTGGTTATGAACTTTTTTTTTTTTTGGTGTTTTTGGTAGTCATGTTCATACCGCATATAAGATTATCGAAATAAAAGCTTGAATGGCTTGAACAAGAAGAACCACTTTGATGACAGTTCGTTTAGACACCAAGTTCTTCTCGTCCTCATCAATCTTTGAGTGTAACCGATGATTCTCAGACGATCCTAAAAGAGCATAAATCCCAGAAAAGACCCAATATAAAACAATCGGAGCAAAAGTCGCCAACAATTCATCAGAAACCGCAAAATTCATTTTCCTAAAAGGCATCGACGATCAGAAACTAGATTCAAAAACCCAGTGTAAAGAGCTGTTTGTTTGCCTTGTAGGATTGAAGGTCGGATGGAAAAATAAAAATATATAGTTCTAAATAAAAGTGAATGTTTGTGGGGGTGAGGTTAATCTCATATTACCTGTATGTGGGTTCAAATGTGAGTCCACATTTTGAGGTGACATTTGATATGTTTTGAGTTGTGAAAGAAGTTGACTTAGAACTTTAGAAGAAGATATACGAGGCCGTTTAGTTTGCTGATTTGAGTTTTTAATTTGAGTTGAGATGTGACTTTACGTGAAAGTTTTTTATTGTAGTAGAAAAGTTAAATGTAACTATTTTTGAGAGCTTTTTACTATAATAAAACTCGAATTCTAAACTCAAATCGGTAAAATGAACTGAATCATAAAGTGGTTGGATTTATAATTGAGAAATGCTCTAACGGACTTAGCTTGACAGGCTTTGTTTTCGTGGACAGTCTTTGTCTGATTAAAGTATTTTTTTTTCCTTTTTACTCAAATAAAAAGGAAGCTTTTCCTCCAAATAAAAAAAGGGTGTATCATTCGGAAAAGTAAAGGTAAATTATAAGAATGACATTGGGCTAGGGTGGGGGCAGAAGATGATTTTTCATTTCTATCCTCATCCTCGTCCTCAACCCGCTTAACGACGAGCAGGATCAGAGTCAGGGATTCCTCAGTGATGGATTCTTCTGTTGGTTTCTCAAATTGAATTTTTAAAAAGAAATTATGCGGAAGTATAAGATCGATCGAATTATATAAATTAAAATTTAATGCGATTATTATTTCATGTTAATTTAATTATAAAAAAATTAAAGAGAAAAAGAAGAATTTTACCGTCGTTTGATTATGACGTAAATCTTAAACTCCTCTAACACCGTCTTGAACTCTTAAATTCTAAGAACATCACGGTTCTTTCTTAATGTATCTCCGAATTAACGTGAATTCGAATGTATAAGCGTTTTAATGAGTTTTTCAATGCATAAGATAGATTGATAAAAAAATTACTTATAATTATCACTCATTTTTTCTAAAAATACGTGATAGTACCTAAATTTTTTTTTTAAACTTTACTTTTGTTCTCCCGTATCTTTTGATATATATTTATCAATCCTCCTTTTCACGTTTCCGTGCAAGTTGCAACCACTTCTGAAAAAGTGGGAAACTTGCCCACTTTCTCCTTCTTTTTTATTATTTATTATTATTTTTTTTTTAGGGAACGTTACTGTACTGCCGCACGTTCCCTATCCTTTTAATGTTATTTATATATATATATATATATATATAAGGAAATCGTGGCCATCCGACAATCCCAATTTCGCTGACTAGTCCGGTACAACTACTATAGCCGTTGGATGCTTTATGGACGATTGGTTTTCGTTGAGGGCATGCTAAGTTTTTGATAAAGTGTGTTGTGGTGTAGGGTCTATTACAAGACATATTTAAAAAATATGAGGCCTGCGATGACAATGAATAAAAAATAAAAAATAAAAGGAGGAAATAAAATAAAGAGTAAGATTATTTTTGTCTTTTAAAATATGTAGGGCTTGTTCTTTTGAGTTAAAAACTCAAAAAATAACAACTCGAACTACAATTTTATTCGAATCATATTTTTTTAAGTTTAAATTTGAGTTTAAACTCGAATTCAAACTCGAGTTTAAGATTAAAACTCGAGTTCAAGTTTCCCCTTCAACTCGAGTTCAGAAACTCGAACTTAAATTAATGAATAATATTTTTTCTATTATTAAAAATGCTATAACTTTTTCGTTTTAATTTTGATTGAGATGATTTTTTTTCTATGCATTGACAATGAAAAGACGAATAAAACCTGACCCATATACCCTATTAAAATTTTTCATCAGTATTGAGTTTTTATTAAAATACTATCTAAATACAAATTCAAGTTTTGACTCACTGAAACACAAACTCAAAAAGATTCTTATCTCAAATCATAACTCAAATGTACACAACCAAATACAAACTCAAGTTACAAGTTCAACTCAAGTTATAACTCAAAAATTATAATCAAGTTAAACTCTAAAAGAATAAACTCGTAATTTATTTTAAATTACTTATAATTTTTTAAAACAATTTAAAACACTTTTTGATATATAAAAAATCATTCAAAATATTCTATTCATCCACTTCTGTCTATCATTTTAACTTTTTGCTAACATGACACTCATTAAAACATTAAAAATTAAAATTAAATTGACAAAAAGAGATTAATTATTAAAAAAATAATAAACACTCCCACAAAATACGAATAATATTTTGAAGAATAATAAAAACAAAAACAAAAGTAGATCAAATTATTTTAAAAAACAAACACATATAACTCTAAAGCGTCTTCTTCTCCATGTGTATGTGCCATGATCCATCGGCTTGAGGGGATCATCGCACAGGTGGGGCTTAGTTGCCGAAAGTGGCTGCTGCAAAGGGAGGAGGGAAGTTGGATCTCGGTTGCGAGGGGTGTGAAGCAGAGGGTTGCAAGCAGGGGATGGGTCCGCTTGGCTTGGGTTCGATGGCGGTGACTTGGGTGGGTTGCCCAACGATGAGGTTGGATGGCGTTGGAGATCGTTGTTTGAATAAGATTGAATATGTTTTTTTTATTTAAATTCTTTTACATATCTGGGTTTTTGAGATGTTTGAATGAGACGAAAAAAGTTTAATCGAAGTATATGGTTTCTTCACTGATGGAGAAGGCGACAGCTTTGGCCGAAAATTCGCCGAATTCGGTCTGGAATAACGAAAAGATTTAAACTTTTCGAACATGAGATTTGATTCGATTGAAATTTGGGTTCCTTTATTGAAGAAAACAGAATGTGACTTTTAAAGCTTTTTTTTTTTCATTCTTCCTGATTTGAATCGCCACAAAATCATCGTAGTAAGTTGTTTCTAATAGAAATTTATTGGGTTGTCTTGGTTTCTTTGGTCTGAAAGTGGTTGCTTTTTGTTGGGGAGTTTGGCGTAGGAGACTATAAATATGGACTGCCATTAATGAAGATGAAGAGAATGTGGGATTTCATTTTATTTTATTTATTATTATTTAAATAATTGATATTTATTTGTTAAATATCTTTAATTAACTTTTAATACTCATTTTTATTGCCATGTATGCATTTTCCATCCAAGTGATACACAGAAGTGGATAAAAGAGGTAATTTGACCTGTTTTTTATAAATCGGGTGGTGTTTTGAACTGTTTTAAAAAATTAATAAGTATTTTAAAACAAAGTACATATTTCGGAGAGCATTTATGAAAATAAGCTGTTTTTAAAAACTTTTTATATATGCCCCCTTATGAACAAAATTTCATAGATGCCCCTCATTAATGAATATTTTCTCTAATTTATTCCTATTTATTATTTTAAAAAAATGTCTATAATTAAAGATATATTTTTTTTCTAATTTATTTTCCCTTGGTGAATGTTTTTTTTTCCTTTTTCAAGTGTCTCTATTTAAACATTTTTTCTATGCACTCTTTTCTAATATAATTATTTTCTCCTATCTACCTGCTAAATTAATTACAATATCACAATCAATCATAATAAAATTTGAAAAAGTTTTTGTAATATATCTTGTAATTTGGGTTTATTTAGAAAGTATACCATTCATTTTGAACCTCATCAAACATATGTACTAGGACATGTCAAGTGTGAAATAAAATTCATACTCTGAACAAGCATATGCTCAATTTTGACTAGTGTAATGACATAAATACTATTAAAGAATTCAAAAAAATATATTTTTTAAAAAATGCTTTTCTGGATAGAAAAAAAGGTGTTCTTAACACTGATATAATAGGAAGTAACCGTGGTTGTAATAGTTCTCCCATCATCCATGATTAACGATGGTTCCTTTACTTTGATCATCATTTACTATAAGATTAGAAATGAGATTTTTGTTGTGATAATTATAATAGTATAATTGATCGTATATGTAGACATCAATATTACTACATGAGAAGTACATGACATCAATTATAGTGAATGCAGACATTGTCTTTTAACCCGTGATCACTGTTGATTTTAACTATATAGTGTTGGAGCAAACTTTTCTCCAAACACTAATGCTATGTTTGATAGGATGGATAGAAAAGAGAAATGAAAGAGAAGTAAAATACATAGGTGAAGGAAGTAAAATGGTTTTCTCTAATGTTGTTTGGTAGAAGAGAAAAAAAAATGAAAAAAAAATGTCAAATTTAAGACATTTTACAATAATACCCCAATACAAATAAAAATATGACGAATAATAAAAGTTAAAATTGTTATTTTACATCTCATTTTTTGTCAAACTTTTTCCATCCTCTTTTCTTCCCGAAGTTGGAAGGATGAAAAATTAGTGGGCCCAATGGATTTTCATTTTCCTTCCTTCATCATTTCCTCTCTACCAAACAACCTAAAATTTCATTTTCCTCTATAAAATCCTTCATATATTTTCTTCCCTCTCTCTTTTTCACCCTACCAAACACATTGTAAATGAATGTTCTCAAACAAGTAATTTGACTTAAAAATACACCTTAGTCAATAACCTTATATGAACATTTATAGAACACCAAAAACCTAACAAAATATTCAATATTCATACAAACAGGAGTACCGATTAATCCATAAGGCTTTATTGTTGTAAGTATAATTACAAATTTGGGTCGGACCAAACTAGCCGGTTCGATTCCCGTTACTATTGTTTGGTCTTGGTCCGGCCTTCTTTAGTGTCTGGGTTGGGTTATGCCGGTAGTTTAGGTACAAAATTGTGCTGGGAATATACGTTGAAAAGGAGATCTCCCGTGTTGATCTTGGATGCCAAGTTGGCAGTCCCGTTTGATGACTCGTCTGATGAGCCGCTAGTCTGATCATTCTGACAGCCCACCTATGAACTGTCGGCAACTCGCGACTAGTTTTCACTGCCGATTTTGCCATTAATTCCCATTCTTCGAGACGTATGTTGACACGTGCATGGTGAGAAATGACGTACGAAATTTAGATCATCTAAATTAAACACTACAAGATTAAACTACTGTGTTT